GGTGAAGAGACATAGAAGAAGCCAGCAGATATCAACTTGTGGCTTTCACATGCACACACGGGTGACAATGTATGCAGACACACACACGCACACACACATGCCACAGTTAGAGGGGTGGGGAAGGAGGAGAGAGAGGAGGGGGAGAGAGGAGAGAAAGAGAGGACAGACAGTCATGATACAGGGTACGCCCATGCCTGCGATCTCAAGTTCTGAGAAGAATGGTGACACCAGCCTGGTCATAGGAGAGTGACCGTAGGGGCTGTTTACCAACCACTTTAGCTGTGTCGCCTCTGCAGGCCCAGTCCAGGTGCTTTGCTTCTTTGTCCCTCAATACTCAGAAGTTTATGTGCCCGTTTCACAGATGTGCACACTGAGTTGACCCCATAAACTCTTGCAGAATCTGGACTCTTGTCCCGTCTGACTCTTACAGGGTCGGTCAAGCCCCTGATCACTGTACCTTATCAGGCAGGGTGTCATCAATCCTGTGACCTTGCACTGGCTTGCTTCTCCTGAATGGCAGTCCTTCTGAGGCTTCTCACTGGGGAGCGTTTGATGTTTGTTCTTAGGATGCTTGCATTTCACTTAACCCGTGGGGTCAACACCAAAGATGGCAGCAGCTTGTGAGGGGAAATGATGAGAGGAGTGTTTCTTGTAGTGAGCGTGGGTGGGCTGGGTAGACCGGAGGACTGGGTCCTTGACAGCTACACTTGGTCAGTTTTCACGGTAGCAACCACCTTTAGTTTTGACCTGTTGCCATTTGCTACGCCCACAGTTTCACCTTTCAACATGAAATATCCTTGTAGAATATCATATCATAATCTAAAATAGTGTTAATGAATACGTTTGAATAGATATTAAGCACCTTTAAAAAATAATCAGGCCCCCATGGCCGCTACTCAGGAGCTTGTCAGAAGAGGACTACAGTTCAAGGCTACAGCATGAGTTCAAGGCCAGCCTAGGGAAGCCCTGCTTTTGAAAGTGAATAGAAACCCCTGAGATATAATATTGTAGAGTGCTTGTCATGCCATGTGAGGCTCTAGGTTCAGTTCTGAGTGCGGGGAGGGGGGGTGGCGGTGGGGGAGGCAGGAGAGGAGGAAAGAAAGAAATGGAGAAAAGAAAATGTTTAAAACATGAGATAGGATTTTTTGCTATTGCTATTATTATTAAAAAGTAGAACTCTGGGAACTGGGGAGATGGCTCAGTCAGTACTACTTTTGTCATGTAGACATCAGGAACTGAGTTCAAGCCCAGCACTTCTGCAAGACGTGGGTACAGCAGTATCCATCTGTACCCACCAGGCCCTGCACAGGAGACAGGTCAACTCCTGCAGCCCACTGACCTGCCAGGCTGGCTGGATTGGCAAAGCTGGCAGACAGTGATTGAGGAAGACACCCGGTGCTTCACCTCTGGTATACACAGGTTTGCACACACAGTATTGGTCGAGGAAGACACCCGGTGCCTCACCTCTGGTTCCACAGGTGTGCACACACAGAATGCTCACCTCTCCACTCAAACATGTGTGCACGCACAGAATGCTCACCTCTCCACTCAAACATGTGTGCACGCACAGAATGCTCACCTCTCCACTCAAACATGTGTGCACACACAGAATGCTCACCTCTCCACTCAAACATGTGTGCACACACAGAATGCTCACCTCTCCACTCAAACATGTGTGCACGCACAGAATGCTCACCTCTCCACTCAAACATGTGCGCACACACAGAATGCTCACCTCTCCACTCAAACATGTGTGCACACACAAGCACACACACACTCTCACTCAATGTACATATAATATACTCATATCACAAGGTAGAATCTCGATTTAAAAACCCAAAGGCCTTGATTCTCTAGAACTGTGAAAAAATTCAAAGCACCACAGTCACCCCGATAGAGATTCCTGGGTGATTATAATGGTGCTAAAAAAAAAAAAAAAGAGAAGGGAATCCAGGTCTAGTCAGAAGATAGCCATGTGGGTTTCCTACTTCAGAGGATGTTAAAGAAAGCCTGGCTAGCTGTCGCCTTTTGGAGAGGCTCTGGACAGGCTGACTCCAGAGAGCTTTCCAGATCTCTCCCAGCTTAGGACTTTGCAATGAAAATTTCCTTCCTTCTGATACTTCATTCAGACACAGTGTCAATCCTGAGTCTCAGAGGGGAGCACTCTGTGAAAGCAGGTAGAGAAGGAGACGTTTGTTTTCTCTTGTGTAGGGATCGCACGGCTCTTTCCTGTTGAATACACTGATGTGTACTTGGGTTCCATCATGCTGCTGAGTTATGGCATCAGCCCATGACACAGCACATACAAGAGCATTTCTCATGTGAGAACACACCTGTTCACAGCTCCTGGGTCGCTCTAACCACAGTCTTAGCTTTTTAATTTTTTTACTTCAAGCACTTCAGAAAAAAAGTTTTCTTTTTTTTTAAAAAATATTTATTTATTATGTATACAATATTCTGTCTGTGTGTATGTCTGTAGGCCAGAAGAGGGCACCAGACCTCATTACAGATGGTTGTGAGCCACCATGTGGTTGCTGGGAATTGAACTCAGGACCTTTGGAAGAGCCATCTCTCCAGCCCCCGAGGAAAAAAGTTTTCTTTACCCAATCTCCAGTCTCTCATATCAAATTACAAGAGCTTTTGGGTTGGCTGTCTGGGAAAACAATCAACTTTCCACTTGATTATTGAATAGTCTCCAGTTTATTTGCAAGAAGATGAGGAAGAAGAAGAGGAAGAAGAGGAGGAGTGTTCTTTAAAATATTTTCCCTACATAATCAACAGAATGTTCAGAATGGCAGTCTTTGTCCACTATGCACCAAGCAAGGGATTAGTATTTAGAATATAAAAAGAAATGAAAAACTTAAACACCAAAAAATATGTAATCAATAAATGGGCCAGTAAAATGAATTGACAGTCTCCAAAAAAAGAAATACAGATATGCAATAAATATTTGAAAAGGTACACAGTGTCTTTAGCCATAGAGGAAACATGAATTTAAGCTGTTTTTGAAATCCCATCTCACCCCACTCAGAATAGCTATCATTAAAAATCCAACAGTAACAGGCACTAGGGAGGATGTGGGGCAAAGGGGAACCCTTGTGCTTCTGGGGGGATACAAGGTGATGCAGCCACTGTGGACCTCAGGATGGAGCCTTCTCCAAATCTAAACCTAGAACCCTAAATGGCCCAGCCGCACCGCTCCTGGGCATAAACCTGAGGGTATGAAATCAACACAGAGACACCCGCATGTGCCTACTGCTGCGTTCGTCACAACCGGCAGGTGATGGGATCAGCCTAGATCTCCAGCAATAGAAGAATGGATGAAGAAATATGGTACATGTCCACAATGGAATTTTACTCATCTGTAAAGAACAATGAAGTCATGGCCTTTGCAAGAAGGAATATAATTGACTGTCACCATGCTGAGCAAAGCAAGCCAGACCCACAAAGAGATATTCTGTGTGTTTTCTTTCATGTGTAGAATCTAGATTTCAATTCAAATGTATATGTATGTGTGTGTGTGTGTATATATATATATAATGTTTTTCTTAGCCACATGATGCATGCTTGCAATCCCAATAAGCAGGCATCTGGTGCAGGAGGATCATGAATTTGAGTCAGTCTGCTTTATAAAAAGCAGGCATCTGGTGTAGGAGGATCATGAATTTGAGTCAGTCTGCTTTATAATAGCAAAAGGTTGTCTTAAAAACAACTAAACATAGCGGCAAGAGAGAGGGCTCCAGAGTCAAGAGTAGTTCCCGCTCGTCCAGAGGACCTGAGCTGGACTCTCACCACCCTTATCAGGAAGCTCATACTGTCTGTAGCTCCAGTTCCACAAGAGACAGACAGGACATACACACACGCATACATATATGTGTGTGTGTATAAATCTTTAAAAAAAAAACACCTCTAAAACGAATGCCCAGTACTACCCCCTGAAACGCCCACAACATGAAATGGATGAAAAATCAGGTATTCCGTTCCTCTCTTATACCGTAGGGCAGCCTCATGCCACAAGGGGAAAAGCGGTTGTGGCACCAGGGCTGGGCTATAGTCCGAGCCTCTTTGACAAGAGCCTTTACCTTAGAAGCATTAACCTTATGAAGATGGTCTTCCTCGTAAGGTCCACATTCATAAACTCAAGCATTACTTAAACAGTCATCCTTCACCCTGCTTCCCACTGAACACTCACTGCAAATTACAATAAAGAGGGAGACGGCTAGACTGTGTCCTTGCGTTCTAGTGACTGACGGAGAAAAATGAACCAGAGACTTGGAAGCAAGAGGCCAGGTGAGGGACTGCAGTGTCTGGTATAGGAGTGACTTGTAGCAAGAGGGAAGAAGACACCCATCTTAGAGATTGCATTATGTAGAATTCTCTAGAGCAACAAACCCAACAGACTCTACACGTCATGTTAAGACAGCTTTATAAGGTCAGTTACCGAACAATCCAATCCCACGATGGCTGTCCAAGGCTAGACAGCTAGAGAAAGCAGTAGCTGATGAGTCTGAGCAGTTAGAAGCCTCAGAAGCAAGGAGACCAATGACCCAGCTCCAGGAAGAGCCTGCAGGTCCTCCGGGTCCATGGAAAGACATGGAACGCTCAAGTCTGGAGTCCGAGAGCAGCACAATTAGGGCGCCTGCTCAGTAGGGGAACGCATGTGCACAGGCTTCTCTTCTTCCATTGCTTTGTTCCTTCTGTGTCCCCACCCTGGACGGTACTACCCACCTTCAGTGCAGGTCTTTCCCCTGGATTCACTGACCCATGTGCCAATTCTTTTTGGAAACACACCTCACAGCCATACACAGAAGTATGATTTGCAAATTTTCTGAGCGACCTTTAACCTAGTCAGGTGGACATCCAAGATTCAGCACCAGAGAGTACCCAAACAGTGGCGCCTAGAGAGTTACCGTGGAGACAGGAGATGCACACAGATGCGAAAAGGATCATGAGAGGTGAAATTGAGTGATCCACTTTAATGTGAGCCATAATCTTAACAGGTAAACAGTTCCAAGTCTCTCAGCACCAAGCAAAAGTCATTGTGAGGACTGAAGAGAAAGCCGAGGCCAGCAAGCCCAGCCAGAGAGTCCCGGAATCCTCCAGACTTAAGTTGTTTACATAGTCCATACAAACAGTGCCTTGCCCTTGAACTCATAATAAATCTAGTGTTCAATGCCATGGGCTGTAAGAGTCTTAATTTAACTCAGTATTATGAAATGATTTATGCATGTGTTTCTTTTCCTGTTGCTATGACAAAATGCCAGACCAAGGCAGCTTGAGGAAGAGTTGGTTTGGGCTCCCAGCTTGAGGGTCTGATGGGGAAGTCACAGCAGCAGCGTGAGGTGGTGGCCACACTGCGCTGTAGTCAGGCAGCAGAGACAGATGAATGTCAGCACCTCTCCTTCTCTCCTTTTTACCCGGCATAGGGCCCTTGCCCATGATGTGATGCTGCCCACATTTAGGGTGGGTCTCCCCACCTCAGTTAACTCTCTCTACACATGCCCTCACAGATATGTCCAGAGGTCTGTCTGCTCGGTGACTCTAGATCCTGCCATACTGACAGTCTTAACCGTCACCGTTTTCCCTTTCTTTCATGATGAAGAGCTCAGGTAGGGACTCAAAGGTGGCCAGCTTCTGCCTCTAGCACCACCTTTCCATGCCCTTGCATCAGTCCATGGCTCCCCCTTTTCGCCACAACCTCTTCCCAGTCTCCCCTCCTAAGATCACCCCTTAGGATGGTGGCCTCCTTACCAGCCTTCAAGCTGTTTGGCCTCACACCTCCAATTCTGTAACTGAGTCCCCTCTCCTGTTCTAAGGAGCCATACAATTGTCTGTTTCCTGGACACCTCCCTGAGGCATCAACTGAGCCTCACGATGTTGCTGGGCTTGGGAGATCTCCTCTCAGGCTCCCACTCCTCTTCCCCACCCCCTGAGTTCCCAGCACTGGACACAGGGCGCAGCTGGAGACCTGATTTTCTGCCGGCACCTTACACCTCAGGTCAGCTACCGAATCCTGACAATGCCATCTAAAGAGTCTCCGTTGTTTCCTCACATCGCCGATTGCTACCTCAGGTTCTGCACGCCACCTTCTGTGGTCCTAGGACACACCATGTGTGTCCATTCTAGAACCTGGATTCTAGAATGATCTCTATCAAGTTCAAATCTGCTTTTATCACTCCCTAGCTACTCCCTGGCTTGATATCTGTGGTGATGTGAATGAGATTGGCCCCTGTAGGCTCGTCTATTTAAATACTTGGTCACAAGGGAGTGGCAGTATTTGAAAGGATTGGGAGGGGTTGCTTTGTTGCACTGAGGGGTAGGTCTTGAGGTTTCAAAAACCCCATTCTAAGCCCAGAGTCTCCTCCTTCCTGGTGCTTGTGGGTTCAGATGTAGAACTCTCAGCTCCTTCTCCAGCACGTCTGCTGGGCCTGCTGCCTTGCTTCCTGCCATGCTGATAATGGACTAAATATCTGAAACTGTAAGCAAGTCTCAATTAAATGCTTTCTTTTATAAGAGTTGCCTAAGCTGTGGTGTCTCTTCACAGCAAAAAAACAAAAAAACTGACCAAGGCAGTAGACAGAATTCCTCCATGCCACCCCTTCATCCTCAGGCTACCATCCAAACCTCAGTCCCAACACAGCCTGGTACATTCAGCTCTTCGCTGAGTCTGTGAGTTTCTTGGAGGCAGGGACTGTCTCTGTGACCCTCTATACAAGTTTTTGTTTTTTAAAAATCTTTTGTAATTTCTTTCATGAATACAATGTATATCATATGCGCCTGATACTTTTCCTCTACCTCCTCCCAGAACCCCTTCCAGTTTCATTTTTCCTCCTCCTCACTGAGCCTAGTTAATACTGTTTGTATGCACGTGGATACTGGGCTATCCCCTGGACCTTGAAGAAAACTGACTCTTTCTTCCCTGGAGCAGGAGCTCCTCAGGTTGGGGTGGGAGCTTGTGAGCATGTCTGATCCACACTGGAAAGTTGGCTGGCTAGATCTTGTGTTGGTCTTATTCAGGCCAGCACGGCTGCTGTCACGTCCAGAGACACTGTTGGGCAGTGGTCCTCTGACTTTTCCCTCTTACTGTCCCTTCACCCCCACTTGCCAATGTTTCCTGAACTAGAGTGGAAAGGTATGACATAGTTATCCTGCTTAGGGCCAAGCCTATGAGTTGTTTTTCCCTTCAGCCATTATTGAACCTAGCAGCCCATCACTCCTATATTAACTCTGCAGTCCATGCAGATGTCCAGTGATGCGGCTTTAACATTTTTTTTTAATGTTTTGTATTTTGGAAGGTTTGAAAGTTTGACGGAAGAGGCCAAGGCAATTCAACTCTGATTTATTTCTGATTTCTCACTCCCAGGATATTATTTAGCTTAAAAACTATTTTTTAAATAAATAAATAAATGAATGAATAAATCCCACTGTTAGGGATTGTTAAGTCTCCTCTATTGATTTTTTTTCATCTGGGTCTTAGTTCTCAAAATATTATTGACATCCAATTCATTTTACAAATAATATAGAACTTTTCTTCAGTTGACATGGGTTCCAAATTCTTTTGTTCAATTGATCTCAGATCAAAATTCTGGGGGAAGTATCATTGTTTTATATTGGGGACTTGAGCAGCACAGATTTTTATATCCAAGGGCAGCCTTAGGAACAATCCTCTGGGGTACCAAGGAATGGCTGCATGCTGAAAATTTCAAGTTGGGAGCTGCAGAAATGGCTCAGTGATGAGACCATTGGCTACTCTTCCAGAGGATCCAGGTTTTATAACCAGCATTGACATGGCAGCTCACAACTGTCAGAGGTTCCTCCCATTTCATGGGCTCCAAAGCCCTTGCCTGGCCTCTACAGGCACTCAGTACACATGGTGCATAGACATACCTGCAGGCAAAACAACCATGCACATAAAATAAATTATTTAAATAAACTTTTCAAATTGTGTGCATCAGTATGTGCTGCTATCCCAGCATTTGAGAGGCTGAGACATCCAGGAATGAGTTTGAGGCCAGCCTGGGGCATATAGCAAAGTTTTACCTAAAGGAGGAGGCAGGAGAAGGAAGTGGAGAAGGAAAAAAGGAAGGAGAGAGGGAGGGAGGGAGGGAGGAAGTCAAGTAAAATATCAACAACAGAACAAGTTCAAGAAAATGCCCAAGCAAAATGGCCAGATTTAATGGCAAGGAATTTTTTTTTTTTTTGAAATCTGTCTTCTTGAAGTCTTCATAAATGACAACACAACAGCACAGATGGTTCTTTCTAGTTATGTCTTGACAGTTGGTCAGCAAGCATATGGTTTTCAGAAATTATTTTAATGTATGTATGTGTATGTTTCTCTGTGTGGATGTATCCATGAAGTCCAGAGGACAGCGCTGGATGTCATCCTCGGGAATGTCAGCCATCTCCTGTAAGACTAGCTCTCTCACTGGCCAGAGCTCACCCACCAGGTCAGAATGTCTGGCCAGTGAGCGCACTGTTAGGGAGAAAAATGTAATCCGAAGATTTGGGGAAAATAATCTTGAGGCATAGTGTCAAAATGATCATCATTGTTATGCTTTTTTTTAAAACTTGATTTTGGCATCAGTGTTTCTTTTCATCTTTCTTTTTCCAAAGAGTATTGTTATATCAATTACGTCAAGGAAATAATTAAAATGGGCAGTAGTTTAAACAGCTATGGCACACAGAAATATTCTGAGATGAAACACGTCTCAGAAGTGTGCATGTTTTTATATGAGCTTTCATGTGTGTACGTGTTTGCATGTGTACTCTTGCATGTATGTTCATGTATATGGCACCCAAAGGATGGCTTCAGGCATCATCCTCAGGTACTTTAAACACTGTTTTTTGAGATAGAGTCTTCACTTCACCAAGTAGTCCAGTCTGGCTACCTAGTAGCCATTGGCATCTACCCGTCTCTGCCTTCCCAGCTCTGTGGTGACCAAGTGCCACCATACACATCTTTTTGTTTTCATGTGCAATTTAGAGGTGGGACTCACGTCCTCATGCTTGCAAAGAAGCCTTTTAACAACTGAGCTATCCCCAAACAATTTTATTTGAAATGTAAAATAATTGCTTTGGGTGGATAAGACAGTCTTGTTCTGTAGTCCTGAAATAAGGCTTTTACTCAGAATATGATCCAGGGCAGCCTCAAACATGAGGTTCTGCCTCCTCAGTACTGGGTTCAAAGGCTCGCTGCACCATGACCCTGCCAAAGCACACGACCGTGCTGCCGGTGTCTCAGGTGGAATTAAACTAGACTTTTGAACAATGTAATGATATATGGCTTCTTTGTAGACGACGTCGGAAAAGGTCGTCTCAGCCTGTGGGTTTGTGGGAGGTCCCTTCAGCTCATGCAGACATCAGACTGGAGGGTAGTGTGGAGCCTGCTATTCTGGCTATTGTTCTCCTGTCATGGGGAGACTCATAGGAATCATGTGGGGGCTGCCGTTGGACCAATCACAGTGCGCTCCATTTTCTGAGCACCTGCTGTGTTCCAGGCACTATTTTCTAGACCAGCGGTCAGCAACCTACAACCCAGGGGCTAAAGAAGACCAACTGTCTTTGGGGGACTTTTGAATCTAAAGCTAAAAATAGTTCTTATTATTATTATTATTATTATTATAGATTTTGTTAGAGAAAGGTAATCTAATTTCTGGGCCCAAGAGAAGGCTTAGTAGGTGAAGGTTGCTGCCAAGTCTACTGACCTGTGTTCAATCCCAAAGACCCACATAATAGAAGAGAGTCAACTCCCAACAGTTTTCCTTTGATATATACAAATAGTAGCATGTGTGTCTCTGCCTCCATATACACACTAAATAAATGTAAATAAATAAATTTAATTTTCAGCCTTCCTTGAAAATTTTAAAGACACATTTCACCAAATAGAAAGACACTGGACATTAAGAAGGAGGTTCACCGCACCCAGTCTTTAGGGCCCAATGCAGCCACTTCTCTTCCTCTGCGTACTCTCTTGGCATTGTTACAAAATCCAAGACACAATCCCACTTTTTGAAATTATAGCACCCTCCTTAACAACAAAGTTACTTATACTCTTTTAATGTTTGGAGAAAAAAAAATCA